AGAAATGGAGGTAATATAGTTGGTGGTCCTTCACTTCAGAAACACTACAGACGGAGAAGAAGAAAAGCAATTGAAAGTAGTTTCAATTCTAATCCTTTTCAAAGTAAATATAAAACAAATGCATTTATATGAATCTAATAATACAGCTATTTAAATTAATTAAAAATCAATATGAATTTACAAAAAGACAAGCTAGATTAAATACTAATAATCTATTATGATCCATTTATTATCATACATTTGTTTAGATTAATAAAATGCATAAAATAAGATACAGAGAAAATATTATATATGGAGCTTACACATTTTAATAGCAACAGCAAACACATTATATTACATTGTTATTTAATCAAGTGCTCACAATTAATTTTTTTCCTTACCCATTTAATGTCTTACATTCATTTCCAAGTATTTTTTTTTTATTTTTATTTTTTAATATTAAAAGTTTTATTTTATTATCCTAACCTAGAAATCCTTAACAATAATTATTTTGATTATAACATTACTAGACATTTATAAACAATAAATAATATTTTTAATTGTTTTAAGTTTATTACGTTTATTAATATATTACATATATTTTAGACATTGGAGATGGATTTCAGTCTAGGAGTTGTCAGATACAAACATTATACGTGAGCTTCAGAGATCTTGAGTGGCAGGTAAAATTAAATAGTTATTAATAATTTTAATAAAATAATGATTCGCTATTTTATTAAGCATATTACAATTCCACTTCTCTTTATTATGATTCTGATTTAAATTATTTAGTAACAATTTTTATTTTTATATTTATTTCTATTTTTTGAATAAACGAATTCTTAAATGAGGTTAAATATTACTTTTCCAATCCAAGATAAACATATTCAATTTAGATTTAATGTTTTCATTTTAAGTTTCAGTTAAGTGTTGATATTTATATTAAACCATTATTTTATAATAATTTTTTTTCAGGATTGGATTATAGCTCCTGATGGCTATGGTGCATTTTATTGCACTGGTGAATGTAATTTTCCGCTCAATACTCATATGAATGCAACTAACCATGCTATTGTTCAAACTCTGGTACATCTAATGAGTCCATTGCAGGTACCTAAACCATGTTGTGCTCCAACGAAAATGGCACAACAGGCAGTACTATTTTTTTT